TTAAGGAAAGGGGTGGAGGAGACAGAAGAGAGTGGGTAGAAGAGGAGTGGGGGGACTGTGTGCCAGGACTGTCTTCCCAGGCACGTGGAGATTTTCATCTAGCAGATTGCTCCGCTCACCCCCCACCCCCCACGTTGTCACCTCACCCTGCCAAAGGAGAAGCACTCAAGCACTTGGCAAGGTTTGGCTCAAACTCACCTTCCTCGGGGACACACACGCCCTTCTGGATCCCACTCCTTGCCTCCAGGCAGAATTAATTCCTCCCACTCTGTGGGTGACAGTGTTTTCTATGTCCTTTAAGAAATATGTTTTATTTCATGTGCTTGTGGGCCTGAGTATGTATGTTTGTATGTATGCACCACTTGAGTGCAGGAGCTCACCGAAATGGTGCATGGGTGCTGGGAACCGAACCATCCTTAACTCCTGAGGCACACTCCTGTGTGCCTGAGTATATGTATGTGCACCGTGTGCATACAAGAGCTCACAAAGATCAGAAAAGGCACTGGACCCTCTGGAACTGGAGTTACAGATCGTTGTGAGCTGCTATGTGGGTGCTGGGAACTGAACTCAGTCCTCTGTAAAAGCAGCCCTTCCTTTGTCTCCATTGGCCCAGCTTACCCTGCCCGGGTTTGTTTTTGAGGTAGAGTCTCTCTGTGTAGTGCTGGCTGTTCTGGGTTTCACCATGTAGCTCTGGCTGTCCTGGAAGCACTTCACCTCTCAAAAGTAACCTACAGTTATAACAGTTGTGAACTGTCATGTTGGTGCTGGGAAATGAGCCCAGGTCATCTGGAAGAACAGTCAGTGCTCTTCACCGCTGAGCCATTTCTCCAGCCCTCATTTTACACATTTTAATAGTGAGTGGTCAGTGATCTTATGTAATTAGTTACCAAACCTAGAAATAGTTCACCCGTTTTTGCCGTTAGTGAAAATAAAAAAGAAAGCTCAGCGGTGAAAATGGAAAGGCCTGGCCTGGTATGGTGGCCTAGGCCTGAAATCTCAGGTTATATGGAAAATTTGAGATCCGCCTGGGATACACAAAATCTTGTGTTCAAAATAAAGCAAAATAAAACCGGGCTGAAGAGATGGCCCAGTGAGTAGAGAACTCCTGCTATTGCAGAGGACCCAGGTTTGGTTCCCTGTACCACATGACAGTTATCCACTGTCTGTAACTTCAAAACCAGAGTATCCACAGACTTTGTCTGACTGTCACAGGCATTATATGATCATTACATGCACGTGGTGCACAAACATACATGTAGACAGTGTAAGACCTGGGGTCTCACAGCTCAGGAGTTCAAGATTGCGCCCTTCCCAGAAATCTCCCCCAGACCAAGACTCGTTGCAAAAGCAAGAGGTTTATTAACCATTGCGCAATGGGGTCACCCCTGCCGGTCAGCAAAGAGTGGCACCCGGAGACAAAGGCCTTTAGGTTTTTAAGAGAAAAATTGCGGGAGATTTGAAGTTGCAGTCTTGGCAATTTAGGATTGGATGAGGAAGCTATAAAGTAAAATAATTGGTTAGTCTTAGGTGCTCAAGCTTGGCCAGTCCTGCCAAGTGTGGATGCAGCTGCAATTTAAGATGGGGGTGGTTAGCTCATCCTTGAAGCTTAGGGGCTGCGGACTTTTGGCTGCAGGTCAAAAGCTACTCAGAAGAAGTCTGGGTTCGTTGCTAAGAAATGCAACGAACTCAAAGACAGGAGTTTTCTTTTTGCTGAGTGAAGGTCATTGCTTGCTTGCCTTTTTTTCTATCTGTCCTCATAGATAGGGTCACATTTTTCCATCCTCTGGAAAGGTACTAAGAGGCTTCAGCTTAACCTAAAACTCAAAACTATAGGCTTTAGAAGACATACAGTTTACAAAGTTAGTCTAACCCTTTCAACAGAACAGCTGTACACATTAAATAAAAATAGATCTTAAAAACAAGCCAGAAAGAAAGAAGAGAGAGAGAGGGAGGGAGAGGAGAGAAAGAGAGAGGGAGGGAGGGAAGGGTGGGCCTGAAAGTAAAGTAAAGTGTGCCAGACTGTTGGTACCTGCCTGAATCCCAGCATTTGGCAGACAGAGGCAGAAGGATCACAGAAATTGATGCCAGCCTCATCTGTACAGGACAGCCAGGATCATATAGCCAGACCCTATCTAAAAATTGCACATCTATACATATCACATGCATTCGCACACATATATTTACATACAAAAGAGCATTGCTAGAATTTAGTTTTTAAAATCAGCTTTTGACCTACTTGAACACTGAAAAGACAGTACAGAGACTTTCCATATAGAGGCTTCTATCTTCACCTATTATCTTCCACTAATAGGCTACACTTGCTACCCTTATTATTACTCACATATTAAGAGAAAAGAAACTGGTGGCTGAAGAGGTGGCTCAGTGGTTAAGAGCACTGGCTGCTTTTCCAAAGGACCCCAGTTAGATTCCCGCCACCCACAGGGCAGCTCACAACTGCCTCTAAGTCCAGTTCCAGGGGATCTAACGCCCTCACACAGACATACATGCAGGCTAAAACACCAGTGTACATAAAGTATAAATAAATATTTTTCAAAAAGGAAAAAACAAATTAAGGTTATATTTTATCATTTTTTCAAAAAATTTCAATTATTTTTTCAAAAAATTTTAATTATTTTTTGCTGAGTGCCTGTGAATGCAGTCCCCTTGGAGGCCAGAAGAGGGTGTTGGAACCCCTGTAGCGGGAGTTACAGGAGGTAGCCAGCCACCAGAAGTGGGTGCTGGGAGACAAAAAGCTTTTTTTTACGATTTATTTATTTATTATGTATACAGTATTCTGCTGCATGGGGGCCATGCAGGCCAGAAGAGGGCACCAGATTTCTATGCTAGGAATTGAACTCAGACCATTTGGAAGAACTGTCAGTGCTCTTAACCTCTGAGCCATCTCTCCAGCCCAGTTGCATATACTCCTGACTGGGGCCAGCTCTGCAGCCCTACTCATAGTTTTCCCTCATAGTCATTGAACTCAAATCCAAGTTTTTCAGTGCATTAGGCTCCTATCCACTGCATGGCTTAACATTTGCAGGCTAGGCAGAATATGTGAACAGTACTTGTAGAAATGGAAGTACTTATAAAAAAGCAGGATCAGAAAATGGGCAGAGAGAGCCGACTCATGCTTATAACCCCAGTCTTGTTTCCAGGCCTTTTTTTTCCCCCTTCCTGTTCCAAGACCCATAATATTATATGTAGTTCATGTTTATGTACATTCCTTTGCGTGGGATAGTTTCTTAGTCCTCCCTTGTTTCAGATGAACACGGTAAGTTTTTGTTTTGAGGTCGGTTCTATATGTATGGTGGAAGCTAACCTTATTTGTGTTCCTCTAACCTGGGTGTGCTGAATGCTGAGGTTAACAGATTTGTGCCACCATGCCACCTGCTAAACTTGATTTAAAAAAAGTTTATTGTGTGTGGGGATACTGTGCCACAGAATCAGTGTGGAGGTCAGAGGACAACATGTGGGAGTAGGAGGCTTGCTACTTACCATCCTACCTTGTAGGTTGAGCGATAAGCATCTTACACACAGAGCCATCTCAGTAGGCCATAGATGTGCATATATGTATACATGTATGTGTACACATACACAAGTCACAGGATTCAAATTCTCTAGTCCTAGCTAGTCTTCAATTCTCAAAAATCCTCCAGCCTCAGCTTCTCAAGTGATGGGATTACAAGCATGAGTCATTGTTCCCCTTCAATTTCTGTAAGTACTATACACACACTGCCTGGACCACAAATTTTATTTCATATAGTGGGAGCCACCCAAGTCACAGAAAGAACTTAGACTTGAGTTCAGAACTACTTTTGTCTTCCCTTTCTCTCTCTTAGTCTTGGCTTCCTTTTAAACGAAGATGACAAACTGTCTTAATTCTCACCTGTTTCATTCCAAAATCAAAAATCTCCATGACTTGTGCTCTATTTCTTGTGGTGCTGGTGATTGAAACCAGGGCCTTGTCCATAGTCCAATCAAAAAAGGAAACCAAAAACAAATTAATTTTTTTTGATGCCTCGTTTTGTTTGTTTTGTAGTGCTGAGGCTCGAAGTGAGAGCCTAGTACCTAACATGCCTTCCCACTGAGATACACTCTCAACTCTACGACTACATTAAGAATAATGTAATCCCTGTGCAGCTCTGACTGTCCTGGAACTCACTCTGTAGACCAGGTTGACGCTGAATTCACCTGCCTCTGCCTCCCGAGTGCTGGGATTACAGGTGTGTGCCACCAAGCCCGGCTCAATGACTACATTTTAAAATGTTGTTTATGACTATAAAACCTAGACAACGCACAATATTCCTGCACTTACGCCGAAATCTTTCAGAAGTTTGAGGACATGCTGTCAGTAATTTTACCAAAACAAACAAAAACCCAAAATTGTCACATGCCGGGCATTGGTGGCGCAAGCCAGCACTTGGGAGGCAGAGGGAAGCGGATCCAATGAGTTCAAGGCCAGCAAGGTCTACAGAGGTTCAAGGTCTACAGAGCAAGCCCAAGACAGCCAGAGATACACAGAGAAACCCTGTTTCGAAACAAACAAACAAACAAACAAACAAACAGGCAGACAGACAGACAAAAGACCCAAAAAACTGTCATGTCAGGAACCTTATTCGTAAAGAAAGAGGTACCATCGGCTTGCCTGTAATAAAAACACCGATGTAAAAAGGAAAGAAGAACTAGGAGGAACTCGAGACAGTTCCGACGGAAATACAGTCCAGGAGGCCCCGCCCATTCATATTTCTATTGGGTGGCCTCGCCATCAATCTCCCTTGTAAATAAACCGGGGACGGAAGCAGGTCGGGTAAAAGGGAGGGATTTTCCTGTTGAGGCTGCCAGGGTTGGGGTTGTTAAGAGGTGTGGCTCCTAGGGGCCGGGAGGCGGGAGCGCGCGAAGCCCCGCCTGCTCCCCTGGAGTGTGGGGACGGGTCTTGCAGCTGATTGGCTGTTGGCGCTGCCTGTTCGGGGACAGTTGCAGAGGAGGGGCTGGCGAGGAGGAGGTGGTGTGAGGCAACCATGGCGGGAGGAATCAAAGTGGCTGTGCGGTCGGCGGTTGGTCCCGGGCCCCGGACGGGGGCCAGGGGCTGTGGCGCCGCGTGGCTGCTCCTTGTCGTCTCCGGCTGCGTGGTCTCCGTCGCAGGTAGCACTAGGGCAGCAGCTGCCCAAGGCCGCGCGCGAGGGCGTTATTTTTGGAAAAGTGGGTTCATCCCAAGGGTGCGGCCCGTTACTCGGGAGGGATGCCGAGGGAGGCGCTTCAGGGGTCAGTGGTCGCCCCGGGGCTGGTCCCGGAGAGCCGGAGTCCGGAGCCTTCAGCGGTCTCGGGAAGGGAGACCTGTGCTTGGTGGGAAACGCTGCAGGGTTGCGAGGTGCTGCTGGGTTCCCTGAATTTCTTGGTTAAAACGGAGGAGGTCTGGGGACCACTTCGCCCTGAAATAAGCCATGAGAAAGGAAACGCTGCACTCATTCAGTTTACAAAAAAAAAACACACCAGGAATACGTTCGCCCCACTGGTAACAGGGTTTCTCTGTGTAGCCCTGACTGTGCTGGAACTTGCTCTGTAGACCAGGCTGGCCTTGAACTCACGGAGGTCTACCTGCGTCTGCCTTCTGAGTGCCAGGATTAAAGGCGTGTGCCACCACTCCTCCCTAACAGCCCTGGAATCACTATAGTTCAGTTGCCCAGAAAAGGTAGAAGAGCCATCAGCTTTGACCAGTATGTCATTTTTCCAGCACATTCATTTTGTACCTGCTGCTGGGTAAAGACGGAGGAAGTCTGGGGACCATTTCTCTCTGAAGTATGTCATATTTCAGGCATAAATATATGCTTGAAAGAATGAGTAAACTTAGGAAAGATATCCTACTCAAAGCTGATGGCTCTTCTCTCTTTTCTGGCCAACTGAACAACCCACTTTCGACTGGGTAAAAAACTTATTTTGTGCTCCAGTCTAGAAAAATTAAAAAGTTTTGAAAGAAACTGGTTTTTTTAAACCCCTTGCTTAACAGTGGATAGGAAAGTAAGCAATGATTGCAAACTTCCACTGGAGGGAGTAGCAACCCCAGAGAAAGAAGACAGTCAGATAAACACAGTTCTGAACTCATATAAGCCCCTTTCCGTTCCACTATTTAGCAAGTATTAATACAGTTTGGTATAAGGCAGGCAAAACCCTTGCAGTTTATTGCATGTGTGTGTGTGTGTAAATCTTGTGTTTGAGCACTTTCAGGAGGAGTCGTGCACTTGTGTGTATGTGTAGGACAAAGGTTGGTATCTGGTGTCAGTTTCAGTCCCTGTCTATCCTATTTTTGAGACAGGTTCCCCTAGTGGACCTAGAACTAGAGAGTTGGCTAGACTGCGGGCCAGCCATCTCCCTGGATCCTGTCTCTGCATTGGGATCATCGTACATGCCACTCTGCCTGGCTTTTGAGTGCTGGACACCTGTACTCAGGTCCCTGTGTCTGAAAAGCAGACACTTTACATACTGATACCATCTCCCCAGCTCCAGATTTTATATTTGACGGTGTGTATGCCCTTTATTCATGGCTTGCTGTACTGTTTAATTTTTTGAGTCAGGATTTCATATCCCAGGTTGCCCCCTTGTATCAGAGACTTTCAGTTTTTCATCCCACTGTCTCTACCTCCCATATGCTGGGATTAGAAGCTTGTGCATCTATATGCCACCATACCTAGCTCTAAATTTGTAAGAAAATTATTTTTTGATGGTGCTAGAAATCAAATCTAGGACTTTATACACACATCCCAGCACTGTTAATCTGTCACTGTTACTTATAAGGACTTTTATATAATTGTAAAGTAAAATTTAGAGCTTTGTTTTCCCCTCCTTATTTTTTTTATTTTTTATTTATTTTTTGTTTTTTTCAAGACAGGGTTTCCTTGGCTGTCCTGGTCTTGCTTTTTAGACCAGGCTGGCCTCGAACTCACAGAGATCCACCTCTCTGCCTCCCCTAGGGCATGTACCACCACACTAGCCTTAAACTTTTTTTTATTGGGGCTGGAGAGATGGCTCAGAGGTTAAGAGCACTGCTTGCTCTACCAGAGGTCCTGAGTTCCTAGTAACCACATGGTGGTACACAGCCATCTATTATGAGATCTGGTATCTTCTTCTGGCCTGCAGGCAGAACACTGTATACATAATAAAATAAATTAATCTTTAAAAAAAATAAAAAGAAAAAAATTTTATTGGATTTATTTATGTGTGAGTATTTTGCCTGCATATAGTTGCACCACATGTGTGCTTGGTGCCTAGAAGGTCAGCAGAGGGTGTCAGATTCCCTGGAACTAGAGTTAAAGGTAGACAGATGGTTTTGGGAATGAACTGGGATCCTTTGCAAGTGCGCCTAACCACTGAACCATTGCTCCAGTGCTGGCCCCCTTTATAAAAAAAGTTTTATTTTTATATTTGTTTTTATTTTATTTTACATTTATTTTATATATGGTCATTTATATGTGTTTCATTATTTGGATTTTTACTTAAGGTATTTCCAGGCCAGTGAGATGGTTCTGGGGTTAAACAAGAATTACCACACAAATCTAGTGACCTGAGTTGAGTCCAGGAAACCTGTCATTGGAGGAGATAAATGACTCCCTAAAGTTGTCCTCTTATCTCTGCATGTAGGCCAGGATATGCACACACATACACAATGATAATAAGATAAAAAGAGATCTGTAAAGCTGAATTGATACTTTTTTTTATTTTGGAGGATAAGTCTTAAATATTTTTATTTTACTAATATTTTTAGTGGAGCTGAGAGTTTAACCTTGGTCCTCAAACATGCAATATTAGAGCTCTACCATTGAACTGCAGTTTTAGATTTATTTATATATCTCTCTTTTTCTTTCTTTCTCTTTCTCTTTCTTTTCCCTTTCTCTTCTCTTCTCTTCTCTTCTCTTCTCTTCTCTTCTCTTCTCTTCTCTTCTCTCTCTCTCACTCATTTTTTTGAGACAGTTTCTGTGTAGCCCTTGCTGTCCTGGATTCAATGTGTAGACAGAGAACCACCTGCCTCTGCCTCCTTGAGCACTGGGATTAAAGGTGTGCACTACCACGCCTAGTTTATTTATTTATTTTTCAAACAGATCTTGCTAGGTGGCCCTGCCTCTTTATTTTTAATTTATAATTTTCATTGGTGTTTGGTGTGCCAGATGAGGATCTGGATGGATTCCATTTTTCAAATAGTTATTTGTCCCAGCATGTAATTTAATAATCCTTCACAAAACCTGCTGATTAAAGGTGCTAGGTCTTAGAATGCTTTTATTAAATTTGTTGTTTGACAAATTCATACATGTGCGTAGCCTGCTCTGATCACTGCTACCCACCCAGCCAGCCCTTAGCTCTGCTCAGCCCATGCTCCTCCCTGCAGGGTCCTTTTCTACATTCCTATTTTTTTTTTTTTTTTTAAACTCAGTTACTCACTGAGTTTAACTAGGGCCATCTGTGTGGTCACAGATGGCAGTTTTGGGCCCAGCTGAATGGCTCGGGGCATAAGGTGCCAAGCCTGAGGACCTGAGTTTGACCCCTGGGACTTGCATGGCAGGAGAGAACCAGTTCCTTTAGTCATTCTCTGACTTACTCCACACATGCTGTGGTACCTGTGCGCCTGCACACATGCACACATGGACCACTGTGGCATGTGCTTGCAGGGACACATACAACACTAAACCTAAAAATATGTAATCTTCGAAATGAAAGACCCCCGGAGGGTATCTTTGTCTGAGAGACCCCCTCTCAAGGAACAACGAGGCCATTTGGATGTAAACAGCAAGAGGCTTTTATTTTGATACACGGGTACCCGGGGCAGTAGAGTCATTCGGAGGACCTGCTGCGCCCCCCTGGGTGGAAAGCTGGGGTTTTTATAGGGTTTTAGAGCAGAAGCGTGGGTACAGAAGCGAGAAGCATGGTTATAGGGGGCTGATTGGTATATTTACATGAGACCACGATTTATGTCAAAGTTTGGCAGGGACACCAGGATTTTAGGAACTGGGTGGTCGAAACAGTCATGATGACCCCCTTAACTTGGCCCGCCACCTGTTGTTTTCCTTAGGACCCTTATCTTAACTGGAACAGTCTCACAGATATCCATGAGGGTGATTAACACAAACTGTTTTTAGTTTGACTGGGGCAGCCTGACCGCAGATATCCCAAGTGGGTAACACAGCTGGGTTTTTTAGTAATTTTTCAGTTTCCCATCTAGCCTACAGAGTTTTACAAAACAGTGGTGTCCCACAAAATGGCGTTAGCTATGTTTAACTTAGGGTGAGACAGGGGTCTTTCAGAAAGATGCTAGTTGTAAAAGAGTCTTTTTAGTTTGAACAGGTTTACTTCTGAACAGAAAGGAGTAGAGGGCATTTAAGAATTAGAAAGCGGTGCTGGAGGCTTTGCTTAGCAGTTAAGAGTGTTTTCCTGAATGTTTGCTCAACTTTTTTTTCCTTGCTCTACTTTTTTTTTGTTTTGTTTTTGTTCCTCCCTCCCTCCCTCCCTCCCTCCCTCCCTCCCTCCCTCCGTTCCTTCCTTCCTTCCCTTCCTTCCTTCCCTTTTCTGTGTAGCCCTGGCTGTCCTGGAATTCCCTTTGTAGACCAGGCTGGCATCAAATTTGCAGAGTTCCACCTGCCTCTGTCTCCCTAGTGCTGAGATTAAGATGCATACCACTGTCACCTGGCTAAAAAACAAACTAGGTTTTAAAGGATGTTAATTGTGGAGCTCTTTCTTTAAAAATGTAAATTAAAAAATTATTTTTAAATTTCCACTTTATTTGGAGAAAGAATACAGCTTTGCCATGAGTACTGCCTCTGGTTCTTGAGTGCTGAAATTACGGTGTATGTCACCATGCCAAACCATCCTCAGTGAATCCGTAAATACATTATTTCCAAGTTTTACATAATATGAGATAGGATTTGCTGTGTAGCTCAAGCTGGTTTCAAACTCACTGTGACATAGGCTGTCCAAGTGCTTATGATGAACTTCCTTTCTCGAGAAACTGTCAGTTTCTCAGGAGCTGGGATGACAACTGAGCACTACCATGCTCAACATAAATGGCATTGTGCATGCGTGCGCGTGCCTGTATACATGTATGTGTGGAGGCCAGAAGCTGATGTCAAGTGTCTTCAATCTCTCTGCACCTTAGTTTTTGAGATAAATTTCTCATTGAATATGGAGCTCACCAAATTGGCTAGACTGGCTAGCCAGTAAATCCCAAGGATACTCTTGTCTCTGCCTCTAGAGCATGGAATTGCAGTTGTACACCACCATGGCTGGCTTTTTCCACACGGGCTCCGGGTCTTCATGCTTGCACGGAAAGCACTTTATAGACTTGGCTATCCTCTCTAGCCTGCTCTTTGCTCTTCCGAAGGAAACAATGTCTTGATCTGTATTTCTAAGTAAGTATTTTTCTATTTATGGGTATGTGTATATTTTACATATGAACTTGTCAGGGAGATAAACATCAATAAAGTTTTAAGCTTGCTTTTTCTTTAATTTACATTTATGGGAGTGCCATATGTGTGTAGGGTTCCACAGAGGCCACAAGAAGATGGTGGATCCCCTGGGGCTAGAGTTACAAGCGGGTGTGAGCTGCCCCACATGGCTGCTAGGAATTGAACTCAAATCTTCTGGTAGGAGCAACAAGCACTCTTAAACACTGAGTCATCTTTCCAGCCACTCAATGGGATTTTTTTTTAAGGGATTTATTTCCAGCCACTCAGTGGAATTTATTTTTTATAGTATTCTGCCTGTGTGTATGCTTGCAGGCCAGAAGAGGGCACCAGTTGCTGGGAATTGAACACAGGACATCTGGAAGAGTAGCCAGTGCTCTCAACCTCTGAGCCATCTTGCCAGCCTCCAGGTTGCTCTTTTTAGCCCACTGAGTTAATTTTCCTTATGGTATTTTCAAACAAGAAAATAATTTCTTCTCTTTCCATCTCCCCCCTGTTTCTTTGTACTCTCTATTTTAGCCTTTCTGTTTTGATGTCATATGCGAGACCTGCTTTTTCAAAATAGAGTTTTAATTTATATATGCTATTTGGTGGATTTTAGTATTTTTCACAGTGTTGTGCCAGTATTGTGACTGTCTAATTACAGAATATTTTAGTCAATCCAAAATGAAACTCTGTAAACCTTATCAGTCAGTCCCTAGTTTCCTATCTTCTCTCCATCCCTGGCATCTGCTAATCTATTTCCTGTCACTGCATTTGCTCCTTCCAGATGTTTTATGAATCCATCCTAAGTGTACATTGCCATTTTCTTCTTATGGCTTTTTTTTTCTTTTGCTTCTTTCGTATTTTCAAAATTCATCCATTTTGTAGCATATTTCTTTTAAAAAGCTTGTTGTTGTATTTTATTTATATGGATACTCTGTTTCCATGTCTATGCACCCTGTGCATGCCTAGTGCCCAAAGATGCCAGAAGAGGGCACTTGATTTCCTGGAACTGGGCTTACAGATGGTTGTGTGCTATTGGTTGTGTGGATGCTGGAAACTGAAACCAAGTCTTGTGGAATAGCAGCCTATGCTTGTAACCACTTCACCTTGTAGCTAGCTCTAATACTTCATTTTCTTTTAGAGCTAAGTAATAGTCCATTGTGTGGATATACATATTTTGTTTATCTACTCATTAGTAGAACAGCATTTTGGGTGTTTTTCACTCTTTGGTGGTTATACTGCTATGACAGGTTTTATACAGATTCAAGTGCATGTGTTTGTGTGAACATGTTTTCAGTTTTCTGGAATTGTACAAGGAACTATTAAAGTATTATTTTATTCTCCAGAAAAACAACCAAAAAGCAGTTGTATCATTTTACATTTATGTCACCAGTATATGGGGTCCTAGTTTCTCCATATTCCCAGCCAACCTAATGCTACTGAATTTCTTAAAAAAGAATTTAAAATGTATCCATCTTGTGTGTGTGTGTGCTGGTGTGTGCAATGTGTGTGGACAGGACAGTTTGCAGCCTGTCCCGGGGATCAAGCTCAGGTATTAGACCAGCAAGACAATCAATCACTCACTCTTACCTGCTGAGCCAAATCTCTGGCCCTAAGCCTTATGTGTGTGTGGGGTGGGGTGGGGTGGGGGTGGGATCTCACTATGTAGCTGTATGGAACTCAGCTGGCCTCCAACTCACAGGTCCACTTTCTACCTTCTGAATGCTGTGATTAAAGGCACCTGTGCCTGGCACCCAAGCATTTTTTTGGCTGTAGCCATTCTAGGAGGTATGAAGTAGTATTTCATTGTGTCTTTGGTTTCTATTTCTCTAATGATTTGAGCCTCCTTTTCATGTACCTCTATGTGTTTTCTTTGGAGAAAGGTCAATTTACATCTTTTATGTATTTAAAGACCTGGGTTGGCCTGGGGTGGTATCATATTGACTGTAATCCCAGTTCTTGGGAGGTAGAGGCATTCAGGGTCATCTGCAGCTGCACAGTGAGTTTGAGGCCAGTGTAGACCAAATGAGGCCGGCTCAAAAAAGGGGGGGGGGGGACAAAAGAAGGGAGTTATTGTAATGGTTGTATATCTGTCCAGCTGTTTCATTGTGAGATGCATGGTTGAAGATGTGCCCTCCTGTTTCCTGGGGTAGTCTTCTCTTGTTCTTTGTGATCTTTGCATTAGAAAAGTTTTGCTTTCTGTAAAGTTTTATGCATGCATATGTATGTGTGGGTGCCTGTGTGAGTGTATGTGCAGCCTAGAGGGCCACCTCAGGTGTCATCCTTAGTGACATTGCCCATCTCTTTTGAGTTAGGGTCTCTCATGGGCCTGGAACTCACCAGTTAGGTTAGGCTGGCTGGCCAGGGTGCCTCTGGGACCCTCCTGTTCAGACTTCCCTGAGCTGAGATTATGGTGCATACACTGATATATTTACGTGGGTTCTGGGATGTAGCTCCTCCATGAGTTTACTCCACCTCTCCCCTTGCCCTCTCCTTTCTTCTTTTCTGGTGCTGGTAGGAAGCAATGGTTTCCTCAGTCTGCTTCTTGGCTTCCATATCTTTTAGGATCCTATCAAAGAAGCCACTGTCTAATCCAAGGCCATGGAGAATTACAGCTTTGTTTTCTATGTTTTGCTGTGACTTAGGCTTCTGGCTAAATATTACTTTAGTCTGGGCCCAGTGGCATCTTTCAGACGGACAGTGCCTGCCTGTAAAGTAAGCCCTGGGTTGGATCCTCATCAATGAAAAGAAACATTAGTCTTAGTTTCACTTTAAAATCGTTTTGACTGGAAGGATTGCTTGGTGGGTACAGGTGCTTATCTATCAAGTCGAAGAACCTGAATTCAGTCCCTAAGACTCATGTGGTGGCACAAGAGAAATGACTCTGAAAGTTGTCCTCTGCCTCCACACTTTCGCTGTGCCAGGCTCCCCACCCCCCACCAAAGTAAATAAAACCTAATAAGGAAATTACTTTTAAAAAGTATGTTAGCTTCATGAGCATTTTTGCTTTTTGTTTTGTTTGGTTTACTTTTGAGACAAGGTTTCTCTGTGTAGCTCTGGCTGTCCTGATACTCACTCTGTAGATCATACTGGCTTCAAACTCAGAGATCCTCCTGCTTTTGCCTCTTGAGTGTTGGAATTAGAGGCATGCACCACCATGCAGATCATTAATGCTTTTTTGTGTGGATAATTTTTGACTTGGATTTGGATCAAGATTTTTTTTCTTATTTAAATCCATTTACCTTATACTAAAAAAACCACACTGATAATTATATTTCTTAATTAACAACTAACAAGAAATAATAAATAATTGATATTTTATGATTGTTTAGTAGGTTTTTTGCACAGGGTTTTGAAGATGGCTTAGATGTGAGTTCCTGCTGTCAAGCATGATTATCGGAGTTTGATACCTGGGGCTACTACCATGGTGGAAGGAAAGAATCAAGTTGTCCTCTGATCCTCAGTTGTATACTTTAGATACACACTCATACCTCCCTCATCCCCACAAAAAATAAATGTAAAAACAAAATATTTTTAAAAATGTTCTGCATAATATAGAAATTCAATGAAGAAATAGTTAGAATAGAGGCTCTGGGTTTAATCTCTAATACTACAAAGGAAAAAGTTACTTAACTGTTGAAGAAGGGAAGATGTCAGAGAGTGGTTTCTCTTAAATTTTTAGTTACTAAGAATGAACACAAGTTGAGGCAGAGTCTTCTGTTTGAGTCAGAGGAGTGATGGATAATCACTGGCTGTTAAAGCAGCTGGAGCGAGACAGCTGCCTTGCAGTCCTTTAGTATCCACTCAGTGGGCTCTTGAGAAACCCCAGCAAAACTTCCAGTTCCACCCTTCTGAGAAAAGGGGCATGGAGGAAACAAGTGGTGGGTTACTGTAGCTTACTTTAATTACCTGTTGTCAGACAGGAAGAGTGTGGTGAAGGTGGAAGTTGGACTTGGATGTGAGTGTCACCGACTCCTGACTAGCTGTATGACCCTGGGAATTTTCCTTGGGTGTCAGTTTCCTTGGCATTAGTTTCCTTGGGCATGAGTATATAAAATAGAGATTATGAAAATGCCTACTACACAGCATTGTTTAGGAGGGTTAAGTGAAGCAGACAGCAGTCTGTTCAGAAAAGTAGTTCTTACAGGGCAAGAGAGATGGCTCAGTAGCCAAGAGTACTGGCTGCTCTCGCAGAGGACCCAGGTTTGGTTCCCAGGGCCTCTGGGCACTGTACTCACATAATGAGCAGACACACACACACACACACACACACACGTAAAACATACATCCACATAAAGTAAAGTTTAAAAAGTAGCTTTTATTCATTCTGTGTTAGTGTAGTGTTAACTATTTGTAATAGTTAGACAATTAAATGTTGAGGTTGTAGCTCAGTGATAGGGTATGTGTTTAGCATGTTTGATATCCTGTAGTCAGTCCTAAACAGGTACACATGTGAGAGCGAGTGTGTGCACACATGCAAGTTGGACAGAGATAATCTGCCTTATTTTGTCTCCTGTTTCAGGTTTTTGTCTTTTTGTTTTTTTCTGATTCATATTTTAAGCCCAAGTTTAAGTAGTTGTTTTAATTCTTTTTATAAAATGAGTTATAGTTGTAAGCTTGTTCTGTTATGTTATACTTAATTCTTGTTTCTTGTTTCTTTTTCTTTTTTTCATAAAGCTGGAATTAATGTAAATGTGGTCATGCTTCAGGAGTCCCAAGTTGATAAAAATTCCAGTCAACAATTCTGTTATAAAAATGTACTTATCCCAAAGTGGCATGATATATGGACACGGATACAGGTAATGGGAAGCCCCTCCCCCAGGGTGTCTCAGCTCCCTCTACCAGCTTAGGGTACTATGATTCTGAGGTGAACTTCCTTCCTGTAGTCTGCATGCTCATGCCCCCTTTGAAATGTCTTGTGCCTTCTTTGGGCTGGAATCTGGTGTGCATGTCAGCATGTAAACTCTTTTCTTGTGCTTCCCATTCTATTTTGATTCTGTGAGAGAAGTTTCCTCTGGGTAGAATGACTTTGGGCTCTTTTATTTCATAACACTGCTAAGTCACCCAGCAAGCAAGTCTTTGGGAGTGATAGTGATTGAACAAAATTGGCCTTTTGAAGATGCTGCTATAAATGTGGACACTGATGAGGGTGTTTGCTGTTCACATCAACAACATGAGAGCTGGGGCTGTGAGCTTTTTAAAATTCCTTTTTCATTTTCTGATAGAAAATTCGTACTGTATCTGGGGCACATTATAACCAACATTTATCCATAATCAGTGATTTGTAATAATGCACTGAACTTCCCAGCCAGTCATTATGGGAAACATTTTCAGTTTTCTGGGTTGTGTATGACTGGCAATTTTCTTAATATTCCAGGTCTTTGCTTTGTATGATCTCATAAATAGCTGTATTGATAACCCTTTCTGCTTGGAAACTCCCTCCCCCCTCCTGGCTTAATAGTAGATTCAGACCATGTTAACAAGAAATTGTAGCAGCTGCCTCTATCAGAGCAGTATCATTTGCCAAATTATGTTTTGCTGCTGCATCTGTGCATTTCTGGTAAGCTTTGTGGGAAACTGGCACATGGCGCATTAGCTGTGTAAGGGTTTTAAAAATTATGTTTATGAAAATTTCCTACTTTTTCATTCTAATCTCATTTATGTTACAGATCCGGGTAAATAGTTCCAAATTGGTCCGAGTCACCCAGGTGGACAGTGAGGAGAAGCTGAAGGAGCTAGAGCAGTTTAGTATCTGGAACCTTTTTTCTTCTTTTTTAAAAGAGAAGTTGAATGACACCTATGTTAACGTGGGTCTGTACAGCACAAAAACCTGCCTCAAAGTTGAGATTATAGAGAAGGACACCAAATACAGTGTCATAGTGACCCGGAGTAAGTCTCACCTCTGTTTTCTGGTGGATTCTCTAGTGAGATGGGACAAAGCTTTGGAGGGTAAAATTAGTAAGACAGGGAAGTCAGACCAGGATTGTGCAGTTTTTTTATTATAATCTAGACTATATCACGGCCCTTGACAGCTTAGGGAGTCTCCACCCCACCTAAAACTTTTAAGGTAGCATTAAAAGTCTCCCTCAGTAACTCGTTGCCTAGAATTGGGCAGGCCCTAAGTTGATATGGTCAGTGCTACTGGAGGCAGTCAGTTGTATTCATGCCTTCTGGAGACTTCTTGACAAAGGTAGTTGTGCTGCTATGTTCAGGCCTGTATTTGAAGACAGGAAAGCTGAACAGTAAAATCAGTAACTCACAAAAGAGTACTTGTGGAGTCATAATTAAAGATGAAGACCCCTGTAGTTTAAAGCTTATTGACTGGTCCTTGGAGAAGATTTTTCTTTTGGACATAAAAGCCACGGGATGATCTGGTGTGCCACCAAGGGGCCTGCTTGGGCTTCCTGGTCCTGAGTGAGATATGTTTGGCAGATAGACTTTTTCAGCACAGGGCTGTATAGTGAAGCAAAGTCAGAGGTGTGGTTGGGCAAGAAGAATGCTAGGTAGAGGACATAAGGACTACATCCAAAGTTCTAGGCCTATCTCTGAAATTCCCTGAAACCAAAATGCAGAGACTCCTTTTTGAGCAACTGTGTGAAGCTATGATGGTATCATGTCTAATTTAGTTCAGCATTTAAAAAAAAAAATCCTAGTAGAGGAAGCCAAAATAGAAATAAGATATTCAAGAGAATACACATTAGACAGAAACCTAATTATGTTTGGTGCCCAGGATTTGTGTGGTATCTACACTGCTATTTAGTTGGCTGTTTGCTTTACTTTAGCTGAACAATAATATCAATGTTACCTTTTATAATAACTTTAACTGAGTCTTCTTCTTTTAAGCAAACATTTTATTTATTTCAGGATTTGACCCCAAACTCTTTCTTGTTTTCCTCCTTGGACTTATGCTATTTTTTTGCGGAGACTTGTTGAGCAGGTAGGTGTAAACTTGACAAAACTTATATCATAAGAATTTTAAGTACTGCTAGTTCCTCTTCTGGGATCTATGCTTTTTTGCTTTGTTTGTTTTTTTGAGACAGGGTTTTTCTGTGTAGCCTTGGCTGTCCTGGACTTGCTTTGTAGGCCAGGCTGGCCTCGAACTTGCTGATATGATAGGTGTGTACCACCATGCCCAGCTTGCTTGGATGTTTTTAAGACTTATTTATTTATTTATTTTGTTTGTTTGTTTGAGACAGGATCTTACTATGTAGTGCTAGCTGGCCTAGAACTCATTATGTAGGCCAGATTGGCCACAAACTCCATCTGCCTCTGCCTCCCAAGTGATGGGATTAAAGGTGTGGCCACCATATCCAGTATTTTTTTAATGTGTATCTGTATGTCTCTGTCCATGTGCATGTGGTGCCTGCAGAAGCCAAAAGAGGACATCGGGTCCCCTGGACCTGGAGTTATAGGGAGTTGTGAGCTGTCTGTCATGGGTGCTGAGGACAGAACTCAGTTCCTTTGGAAGAGCAACAAGGAGGTGAAACAGCCAAGTCATCTTTCTGGTCCTGCTGGAATATTTTAAAAATAGATTTTTTTTTCTCACTGATTTGAATATGATTGTTGATTAATGTGCTTTCTTATTAGATAGTTCCATCATTAGTTTAATTTGAGTTACCTAGTACTAGACAGTTGACTACCAAGTTAGAAGTAATGTTCCTGTAGAGGTTTATTTATTTGTTTGTTTGTTTTTTATTGGTTTTTCAAGACAAGGTTTCTCTGTATAATAGTGCTGGCTGTTCTGGCTTCACACAGGTGGCCTTGAACTCAGAGATCTGCCTTCTCTGCCTCTTGAGTGCTGGGATTAAGGTGTGTACCACCATGCCCAGCATTAGTGTAGGGATTTATACAGTGAATTTGCTACCAAATTATACGTTGATGAGTTTCATGCTGTTTAGATATAAGGAGACAACCATCAGTTCATTTCCTTTTTTTAGAAACCTACTAGCATGATAGGCAAAACTGACATGCACTAGTATAAAGGCCCAATCTTGAGATGAAATTCTTACCTGATACTGCTGAAGCAACCAAGAACCTGAGACCAGATAAGTCATAGGCCTAGGGAAAACCTACTACAATTATTCTGCTAAAAGAACATAGCAGGAAAATGACTCCTAATGACAAAGTGCTGATCAGTGCCTCACTCAACCTTATCAGAGAAGCTGCTTCTTGCAGCATATGGTAATTAATACAGAGACCAACACAGAAAAGTGAAAGACTTTGGGCTCATCCTTAGGTAGGCTGTCTCTATCTAGTCCCTCCCTTCCCTCAAGGGTCAGGGGTGTATGTAGAAGAAGAGGTGCAATTGTAAGAGCCAGAGGTAGTGAATGACACACCAATGAACTCAGAGACTATGGCTATATTAACAAGTCACACACAAGTGCAAACCAGTCAAAATCACAGCATGAAGAAGGGGGAATAGGCGCAAAGTTCCACCTTTAACTAGGAAACCATTTGCAGGGGCTGGCGAGATGGCTTAGCACTTAAGAGCACTGACTGCTCTTCCAGAGGACCCGAGTTCAATTCCCAGCACCCACATAGCAGCTCACAACTGTCTGTAATTCCTGTTCTAGGGGACCTGACATTCTCACATGCAGTCAAATACCAATGTACATAAAATAAAACTAAAGAAATTTTTAAAAAGGAAACTATTTGCAATTGATTTCTGCTGGAAAGGGAAAATTGCTTTCTTCAAGGGAGGGTTGTGGGTCCATCAGCCACACTCCAGGGCAGTTTTCACACCCAGGAGTAATTGGCCAACACAAAATGGACTCCATGGGTTGGTTGGTTGTTGTTATGTATATGTATGACATTGAGTTTCCCTAGGATTGTTTTTACAACATGGATGAAGGTTTACAGCCACAGGTTGCACCACTGAAACCATATTTCCCTCTCCTATAACCCAGTAAATAACTGTACAAGTTCTTGGTGGGTTGTGGGGGTGCAGTGGCTCATGAGAGGTCGGGGAATCTCTGAGTTTGAGGCCATCCAGATGTGCATGAGTTCCAGGACAGCAAGGACTACATAAAACTGCCTCAAAAAACAACTATAAAAATAAGTGCAGTATGTATGTCATGCCTGGCACTTAGGTTCCCACCACTCTTCTCCTCCTTTCAGCTCTTGCACTCTTTGACCCCCCCCTTCCATAATGTTCCTAAGCCTTAGAGGGGCTCATACAGTTACCCCATTCAAAAGTCATTTATTCTTGGTGCTTTGACCAGTTATGAATCTCTGCAGTCATCCCTGACCACTGCGAAAAGAACCTTGTCAGAGCAGAGGAGGTGATTTGATGGGCATGCTGTGTTCCTTTAGCAAAAGAAGAGCAGTAGCTCTCTACTTGGGTCCATAGGTTTCCCAGCCATGGGCTTTTGATGGGATTGCTCACCAGATAGGAATTCTCTCCTGTGCAATGGCATCCTAAAGTGACTGGTTACTCTTGAAGAAGATTCCAGTGGGCTTCTGCAGTGTGCTCGTCTTGTGTGGCCTGTCAGAACTGCTGCACATGGGGTCCACAGCTGAGTGAGTCTGTTACTGAGAGTTCTCCCCCAGCATCCTGCATAGTCCATTCTGGCGCTGTGAAGCCACCCAGCAGGAAGCAAGCTCCAGTCAGCTCTGGCTTGATTTCTATGCTCTGTGTCTATTCCATGCTGGGATTTGGAGAGCATGGACATGGGAGCGAGATTTGAGAGGTTCTCACTGATACTACCTTCTTAATGTATCAGCTGCACATTGGTCTACATTTCTGCAGCCTTGAATAGGGTGGATCCTCCTCTAAGCTTGACAGTTTAACTAGAGCAGCTGTGATTTCATCAGTGCTCTGTATAACTTATGCTGTTACATAGTCAAGAAGAATATTCTCTCTGCAGGAGTCAGATTTTCTACTATTCCACTGGGATGAGCGTGGGGATCGTGGCCTCTCTGTTAATCATCATTTTTATGCTCTCCAAGTTTATGCCCAAGGTAAGTAGTCAGATTCCTTCTAGTGTTTAGCTTAGAAAGCTGGAGGGTAGCATTGTCTTCTTGGGTAGTCTTAGGACACTGAACGTTTGCATTGATAGCTGCTGAGTCAGCATCCATCCTGTTTTTTTTTTTTTTTTAATTCTGAAAAGCACTTATATGATAATACTAAAAGCCCGATTACATACAGACTCTTTATTTAGAATCGTGTGCTCGGTGGGAACTGAGAGCTGCTCTCTGTTTCTAATTGCGCAGTTAGGCTTTGAGTTACTTAGCATCTATCTGCCTGGTGCTCCTTGCGGCTGAACCTTTTAGGTAGAAAGCACATGTTTTTTAAGAGATATGTTTTTATGCATTTTGAGTAGGTAGAGTTGTAAGAAAAATTGTCCCATTTTCTTCTCTTATAAAAGCCTTGTAACTTTTGCTTTCATTTCTACTTTGTCTAGAGAAGTCCCATTTATGTCATCCTGGTAGGAGGCTGGTCCTTTTCTCTGTACCTCATTCAGTTAGTTTTTAAGAATTTACAAGAGATATGGAGGTGCTATTGGCATTATCTTCTAAGTAAGTATTATTGGCTTGGCTTTCCTTTGTGACTATAGATTGTTTGGTTATTTGACTGTGAGAAGATGTTGCCTGCTAACAAGGAGTTGGTAGCTAATACCATTTGATTAACTTGTAGAAATTACAATTTTCTACTTATTTCTGATACCACTGTCTCCTTAACATCTTTTGAACTCATGTGCTGTTGATAAAGATGAAGCTTTAATTTGCTGGTGTTTATTTTTATAATATGCAAAATTTAAAAACTTACATTGGCTTTATTAATGTTAATTTAAATATGCTTTGGGACCTTAAGATAGCAAACTGCAATGAATCTTGTATACAGTAGTAATCCTTTGGTCACACAGGTAGAATTCAGTTTATTATCTGAGAACATTAATATGCATATTTATATTTTGGGATTAACATGGACTTTTAGAAATGTCTAACATGTAGCTTTTGAAAGTGATTTAGTTTCAGTAGCACACCAGGTCTTCAGCCTCAGCACTGGGAAAGCAGAGGCAGGTACACACCATGCCTTCAGCCTCAGCACTTGGAAAGCAGAGGGCAGCTAGGGCTACAAAAAGAAACCCTGTCTCGAAAAACAACCACCACTACAAAACTAAATAACCCAAACCAACAACAACAGATTTAGTAGTAATTCTATGTATGTGTGGGTGTGTGCACTTGGATGCTGGTCCTGTAGAGTCAGCTCCACTGGAGCTGGAGTTAAAAAGTGGTTATGAGCGGCCCATGTGGTTGCTTGGAACTGAACTTGGGTACTCTGGGAGAGTCCTGAGTACTCTTAACCTATGAGCCATCTCTTCAACCCCTTTGTTAATTGAGGTAAATAAGTTTCTGACAAAAAGAATAAGAATGATACATGTATGTATGTATGTAAAAAACAGTGAATAAAACTTATTTCCTGAGAATTCAAAATAGGTAAATAATTGAGTACAGATGTTGTCTAATTTTGCGGTTCAGTAGATGCCATCTAGTGAAGTTACCACTGTTTTCTATACACAGTGGTTGAAAAGGGACGTCTTCTGATACTTCTTACAGGCTACATCCTCACAGTTGGATTCATGAGTTTTGCAGTGTGCTACAAGTATGGGCCCTTGGAGAATGAACGGAGTATCAACCTGCTGACCTGGACGTTGCAGCTGATGGGCCTGGGTTTCATGTATTCCAGCATCCAGATGCCACATATTGCCTTTGCTCTTATCATCGTTGCACTGTGTACTAAGAACCTGGAGTACCCTATTCACTGGCTGTACATCACCTACAGGTGACTAAAAGGCAGTGTGGCTTGTGTTGATGTGAGACATGGGATTCACTTTGCAGCAAAAGGATATAGAGCTTTTCTTGGGAACCTTTGTAAGTGAGGAATCACTGCTGTTTCCACCCTTGTTCCTTTTTCAGTTGAGTATATTCCTTTTTTTCTTTCTTTGATTCGTTCGTTCTTTCTTTTTCTTTCTTTTTTATAAAATAAAAGCATCTAGTAAAGTGTCATGTGTTCCTGCTACCACTGGGTGGTGCAAATTATATGAGGGTTTGTTTGTACCACAGGCCTCAGGTTCCAATTTCAGGTCATTTCATACCAATTGTCAGATTGCTCCAAAAATCGTAATCTTATTTTAAGATGTAATTCACACATGTTATTCTTGCAAAAGTAAATAAGGAATGGTCCTGGATTCTGAGGTTGTCAGTGGCTATTCCCTTGCAGATAATCAAAACAGTACCGTCAGTCTGGGGAACTTGAGTCACGAACCACGACATTATAACATCATTTTGTTGTTGTTTTTCCACTTATTGGAAAATAAATATTTTGTTGGTCATTTATTAGAAAATAAGTGAGTTTGACTACTCTGGTTTTTCACTTATAGTTGGGTATGTCAGGAGTACACTCTAATGAAAGGTGTCCATGGAAGAAAGGTGGGGTAGTGACTCTAATGCTTAGTCTGTCTGCTGTGTGGTTGCTCTCCTGAAACAAGTGGAGTAAGGAAGGGCTTGGATATGATTAATGACTCATGATGTTATTTTGCTGAGCACAGAAGGATGTGCAAGGCAGCAGAAAAGCCTGTCCCCCCTCGCCTCCTGACAGAAGAAGAATATCGGATACAAGGAGAGGTAGAGACCCAAAAGGCTTTACAGGAGCTCCGAGAGTTTTGTAACAGTCCAGAGTGCTCTGCCTGGAAGACCATATCTCGAATTCAGTCTCCAAAAAGGTAAACTCTTGGCCTGATAAGCCAAGTATTTATGGACAGTTAATGACCTTGAGTTCTGACAGAGATCATACTTGCAGATAAATGTGTTATATTTTGCCCCTTGATTACTGCTTACCTAGGAGTAGTCAAGAGCAAGTTACCTGTGTCATTGTGTCAATTTCCTGTTTCCCCATGGCAGTTACCTCGTTTTGATTATACCATTAACTTATGAAGACTGTAGTTCCATGTTTAAGTGAGGTCCTTGAAAGTTTGACATGGCTGTCTGAGTTTGCCCTCTCCTCTTTTTGGTTGGGAATAGTTGTACCAAAGAATCTGTGAAGTTTCAATTTGGAATCATGATAACATAAAGTTTATAGGGCCATAAGTGCAAAGAACTGTAATACTTTCATCCTCTCTTATCAGGAATACGATGACTCAAGGAACCTTAGCACTTCATAACTGAAAAGGACAGGGTGGTAATTGTCAGGCAGGACGAGAGTGCCAGGGATGTTGGCCTCTGATCCCATTCCTGTTTCCTGCCTAGTTCTTGCTTCAGTGTATCTGTCTGCCAAAGTAAGGGTAGTAATTGCAGTCAGATGCAGTATAATTTGAACTGCAAGCATGCGGAGCCTTTCAGACAGTTCTTACTTTGGAAGTTGTTTGGGAAGGACAGGCAGCTTCCTGATGAGCATCCCTCTCTTTTGCAGATTCGCCGACTTTGTGGAAGGTTCTTTTCACCTCACGCCAAATGAAGTTTCTGTTCACGAGCAGGAGTATGGATTAGGGAGCATAATTGCCCAGGATGAGGAGCTGTCCTCAGAGGAGGAGAGCTCAGAGTACCCTACTCTCACACAGAACAGCTTCCTGACTTAGATGGCAGCCGGTTATTTTGTGTAGATGGACATGGTGCCTTGATGATCTATGTTGTAAGTGCTATGCAGTTCTCCCAGGCCTTTGTAACAGCCTGGAGAGGGCACAGGGGCCCTACTCAATGAGCGGCTGAGTGGGCTACCCTCCTGCAGGACTTCTGGTGGTCTCCAAGGGATCCCTGAGGAAGACTGGAGGATAGTGAGTGCTGTGGTAGCTTGCTTCCGGCAATTGAGTGCTTGCTGTACTTTCTGTGCCTGAAGAGGTTGGTTGGCCATGGCCAGCATGACATGGTAGCTCCTGTTTGAAAGTTCACTGACTTCTGGCAACGTTGTCACTGACAAACCCTCAAAAATGAATATTAAGTGCAGTGATGGGTTCAGACAGAGGCTGCACCTTCTAAAGAGAGTCTGAGCCATTTTTAATTCTGCTTCTATTTCAGTGGATCCTTATAACAATCCTTGATTTAGCTATTGAAGAAAAAAGATTGTTGCCTGTCTTGTTCTTTTAAGCACATGTATTTTTTTTAATGCAACAAATCCGTGTTCTAGAACCAATAAGTTCTCCAGAGTACAAAACCCCACTGACCCCAGATATCTATTGGTATAGATATTCCATGAGAACCCCTAGAGCTGTTGTTGTTGATCCTTGGATTCTCACGACTCTGAAATTCTGAGCTTGCTCCATTTAGAAATGTTTGCTGGCCCTTCTGTAGGTTCGGCTTCCCAAGCTTCTTATTTTGTTAACATTGGCACTTCTCTCCTGGCATTTCTCACCACTCATTTCTCCCACTCAGGAAGGATCTGCTCCTTATTTGTGGAGTATATACAGTTCAGAAGTTGATTCATTTTCCTCTTTGCCTCCTTCTTTACTCTTTCCCTTTTCTTTTCTAACACTGGATTCCCTTTGCATCTAACAGTTTTGTTTTTACTTTTCCTTTCTGGCTCTGGGTCTTGCTGTGTCTTAGTCTGGTCCTTTAACTCAGCCTTTCTGTGCTAGAATTTTATGCCTATGCTGCTGTACCAACCTTCTTTTTTTTCTTCTTTTTCATTTTTTTGAGACATGGTTTCTCTGTGTAGCCCTGACTGTCCTGGAACTTACCTAGTAGACCAGGCTGTCCTCAAATTCAGAGACGTTATTCCCCTGCTTCTGCTTCCCAAGTGCTGGGACTAAAGGTGTGTGCCACCACTGGCTGGCATGCCAAATTTCTTGTGTTGTTTCACACACACACACACACATATGTATATTCCCTTTGCTTTCCTCCATTATAACTGGGTAGAGAAGTCTTGTTTACCGCCCCTCACCCCCCCAGCCAGATGACATATCTTTTGAGTTACTACACAATCGAGAAACTGCACCAGGGCTGAAGATGTAGATCAGTGGTAGGACATTATTGGGTCAGCACGAGAGGCCCTGATTGGATCATTAGCACCACAACAAAACAAAACCAATCTTACCTCCTTGTCCCTTGTCATCTTTTATATGCCTGTTCTGCCCATTTAGCCTTTGTTAGCACCTGCATGCTCCCAGATCTATTAGGTTTCTTTTTATATGATTTTAGTTATGTAGCTGTCACACTTTCCATGGCAGAGACTAGACTCTGAGGTGTGCTTCCTGTCTCTGATGTTCATTCAGCTGTCTGCATTAGATGCGATCCCCCAGAATTTACTATACTTACAGTTCCATTTCTGTAGAGATACAATGCCTCTTGCTGCAGTGATGTTAGCTTCAGAATACTTTGCCATTGCAGATACCTGTAGGAGCTGGCAATATCATTTATGAGGAAGCAGACTCTCAAGGTTCTGCCGTTTGCTTGGTTCTTTCATTGTGATCTTCACCATCACATTGGAAGAAGTGTGTAGCTTTTAATTCCTTCAGCCAGGGAGGTAGGTGCTTGCTCACGTGGGTGTACAGCCTCAGATTCACTGTCTTAGGATCATTGATGAGGAAGGTGGTATTTTCAGGACGCTCATACGGCGTCTTCAGACCTGCTGTCAGCATGTCATTTTGAAAGATCCTGGGCTCTACTGCTAGCATCCAAAATGTCAGCTGAGACACTGCTCCAGGTGGCCAGTTAGGTATTTCAACCAATGTTCCCCATAGCCTTAAATTGTCCTAAAGTGACAACTACCTCAGTTGTTAGAAAGTAATAAGGAGAAATGGAAAAATGAGCATTATTTGAGCAGATGCTATAGGTTAAAGCTGTAGAATACAATAGTAAGGAACATTTTTGTCTTTGTGAATTATGAATATGGTAAAAATTTGTCCCTTTTCAAAGAGCTGTCAAAGCATTTGAAGGGTGGGGACACAGCTCAGGTTTAGTGCTTGTCGCACAGGCACAGGGCTGGGTTCACTCCTGGCATCACAGAAACAAAGCCCATTGCTAACAACAAAGGCCTCCAGAATGCACTATTTTGGAGCCTTCTCTTTAGAAATTACATGTATTACCTAATATATTTTAATGTGAAAAAGAATTCAGCTGTATAAGTGGTGTTAGTTCTTGGGAGACCTTGGTGCCTTTCCCCAGATCACTCCTCCAAATGGAGGAGGCGTCTGACTTATATTTTTATTTTAATTATAAATCACTGTGAATGATTTCTCTCTTCTGTGTGGTTAACTCCCTGTGAAATATAGATTTCATTTCAAGGCCATTTTTAAAACTGTATTTGAATTTGGGGTGAGTAAAGCAAGCTCATCTTCTTACCCGCCCCCTGGTAGTTGGAGAACTGAGTGCTGTGATCGCTGCTCTCAGGCATGAAGGACGGGGCCTCTTTTGAATGCTGTGTATCCTTGACCTGGCTGCCTGTGCGGCTCTGCTGGGTGTTTCTGAGCCTCTGTGTGCCCCGATACTGCTTGACTCAGCTCAGTCTCATCCCTTAGGCTTGTCTCACCTGTGATTGAAGGGGGGAACTGGAGTGAGCTGGACACTGGAGCCCTGTCTTTTGCCGTGTCAGCGTCTTGCTCAGCAACCATCAAGCCCTAAATTGGTTCCAGGGCTCAGGGTCTCATCAGTATTGGAAATCGATTGCATCTAATTGGTCTGACCAGAGTTTATGGAACATGTTTCCCTTTGCTGGGAACACAAGAGGCAACTGGCATAAAACTTGACAGTTCTCTTTCCTCATGAGAACACAGTGACCAAAGCCAAGAAAAAGTGAGCAGCTTTGATAAGAGCTAGTTTTGTTGTTGTTGTTGTTGTTGCTTCATGCCTAAAATTCCATTACCAAATCCAAGGAAATTTTTCTGGCTAGCTTTTAGGCCAACTTGACACAAGGTGGGGTTATATGCAATAAAGGAATCTTAATCAAGAAAATGCCTCCTATGATTGGTCTATAGGCAAGTCTGTTGAACATTTTTTTGGTTTATGATTTATGTGGTCCACCCTGCCCATTGTGAGTGGTGCTATGCCTGGGCAGGTAGTTCTGGGTTTCATAAGAAAGCAAGCTGAGCAAACTATGGCTAGCAAGCCAATAAGCAGCATACCTCCATGGATTCTGTTTCAGTTCCTGCCTCCAGTTTACTGCCTACCTTTCTTGTACTGACTTCCCTCAGTGATGGAAGTACTGTAAGCTGAAATAAACCCTTTCTTCCTCAAAAAAAGAAAAAAAAAAAAAAGAGCTAGTTCCCCACCCACATTCTTACGTCAACAGTGGTGCTTTGCTGGTGATAGTTTTTTGAGTCCCACTGTTGCCCTCTAAGCATATAACCTCCCATCCTAGGGCATAGCCCGCTATTAATCAGCTGTACTTCCTTTAGCTTACTCTACTTGGTGTGGGTTACCCAAGTCAGCCAGAGAATCCTCACAGGCCTGGATACCCATGAAGGGTTTGGGCATGGGTTGCATAATTGTCCTTACTATTTCTAGGGGGAAAAAAAAGATGAGCTGAGATGGACTCCCGTGTTAACATGGTCCCTAGCGGTGTCCTGATAACTCTTATGAACTGAATGGTAAAAGTTGAAGTATGAGTACAGAAAACTAAGTGCCCTTCTAGTAGTCCTCTTTCTCAGGTCTAGCATATTGTCTATATTTGAATGCTAAGAATTTTTTCTGAACGCAAGGGAGGACAGTGGGGCAGATTTACTGAGCTTTTTGCCTTAGCTAGGCACTGAAACCAAAGGGTAAACACACAGAGGAGCCGATGCACACAACAAGTATGCCTAATTCCTTTGCTTGTATTCACATAGCAGAAAGTATTTCTTTGGGGAGAACTTTGGCAATTTTTGTGGTGTCTTAGTGAGGTAACTATGGATTCTGTTGCTGTTGCAGTCCCTGTGGTTACTACCTTGAAAAGGTGCTTTGAAAGTCCGGCATGATAGTGTGTGCCTGAACTTGGAAGGTTGAAGTGACAGGATCACTTGAGTCTGCACTTTTGAAATTGGCAGGGGCAACAATGGAGACCCAGTCTCAAAACAGGAAGGCAAAGTGTTAGGTGCCTTACATGGCAGGACCTAGAAGCCATGGGGACTAAACAAAGCATGTGAATGTCACTGTTAGTCCTTTAACCTCAGCAGGGACAGACATGGTCATGGAGATCACACAACTGTGTCATTTTTCTTTTATACTTTTTTTTTTCGGGGCCTGGTATTGTTTAGACAGGGTACCACTATATAGCCCAGGCTAGCCTCGAACTCATGGCAGCCTTGTCTTGGCCGCTGAGTTGCTGGGATTGCAGGCGTGAGCCACCATGCCTAGCTTCCTCTTTCATGCTCTTGGTGATAACTTGAAAATGGTGAAGTCACTTGTTTGAACTTGTGGGCAGTGTGAGCATCACTGTTGATTTGAACTTGTGGGCAGCGTGAGCATCACTGTCAGGACAGATTGCCCCTGATGTGAACCTTAGAGCCTATCAACTTGCAGTGGCAACAGTTTCCATGCCTATAGGATTGATACTGAAATAACAGGGCTAAGAAACTACTAGGTAAGTTTTAGCCTGTGGGTAATGCCTTAGTGTTATTTAGATAAAATAGTTGTCATTAATACGTAATAAATGTTAAGGAATGTAAGAAAAACTGATGTTGTGTATTTTTTTTAATTTTTATTATGGCTTGTAAATAATCCTAATTTTAATAAAGTTTTATATACTTTGTACATAGTCATCTTTTAAAATTAAAATATTTTAATTTTTTGTGTATGTGCTTTCGTGTGTGAATGTGCTTATGCTGTGACACACATGTGGGCATCAAAGGACAACTTGTGTGACTTTGTTTTATCTTTTTACCATGTGGATTCCAGGGATCAAATTCAGGTCATCAGGCTTGGCAGCAGGCGCTCTTACCCACTGAGTCTCTTAAAGAATGTTCATTTTTGTTTGACTCACATACTTTCAGATAATTGATAATTAATTACATCAGTTTCATATGTATTTCCTTTTTCCTTCTTAACCACACCTCCCCATCCTGAGAATATTTTGGGTTACTGTTTTGGATCCTAGGAGGTTTGAGGCAGTGTCTCATATAGCCCAGGTTGACTTTGCACTCCTTATTTTCCTATCCCAACCTCTGGAGTGCTGAGATGACAGGCATGAGCCACCACACCAAGTGTATTAAATTATAACATCTTTAAAAAGTGGCTGTGTCTGGGAGGCTTGTTGAGTGAATTGGTGTGATCAGATGGCTGCCCTCAACTATCAGAAACTAGTACCAAAGGATTGGAGTTGTCTTTTCATCTTCTTTCCATATTCTTCAGAATGTAAGTTACACAGACAGTAAAGTTCCTCTTTTAAGTGTATAGTTGGGCTTTGTTTGGCACAGTCAGTTGTCTAAACACCACCACATCATGATGAGGCCGCATCTCACCAAGTTCCTTTACAACCATTGTATGGAATAGAAAATAGATCAGAGACGAAGGGGTAATTACAGGAGTGAGCTAATAGCCAGACTGCTTCCGCGGAGTCTGGAAAGCAAATCCCAGCAGCTGCCTTGGATATGTGTTTGATACATTGTAACCTTAGAGTGACCCACTTGTTATTCCCCCCACCCAGGTCTTTCCTAGTGTTTGCTTTGTAGAGGGTGGGTCCGGGTCTCACTATACAGCACTGGCTGGCCTGGAGCTTCCTATATAGTTGACTAAACTGGCTTCAAACTCAGAGGGATCCCCCTGCCTCTGCCTCCCTAGTGCCAGGATTAAATGTGTGTGCCATCATGTGTGCCAGTGACTTCACTCAGCTTCTAGATTCACACCTCTGGGTATATAGGAGCCCACTGTGGGTCCCTGGCAGGCCAGTATGGCTGGTAGCTGGAGATGTACTGTTAATACCATTGTTTTCAAACCTAAGAGCCATCTTGTTTTAAAGCATGCAGTAGGCACTTACATGATTGATTGGGTAGAAAAGCACTCCAAGTGGGTGCAGGCTCTTAGCCATGAGAATGTAAGGCCCAGGTTCTAGTGCCAGCCATGGAGGTTTGTGTGGTGTGGTCCTGGGAAAGTATTATTTGAGTCCAGGGGAGAGTGGGATCAGTAGTGACCCTGGCTCTGATACAATCATACTGCCCTACCCCCTGTAATGGGGGTTTATGTTTTGATACAACTTCCACTCAGCTTTCCCTTTCTTGCCTCCCTTCCTTCAAATAGATAGAGTAAATCAATAAATTATGTAAGGGCAGGTTGAAAACGGAACTGCTGATGAACCAGGCTTATGCAGAGTGCTTCTTCGAGAGCCATAGAGCTCAGACCTTGAACCAAGCAGCAGAGGCTGAGAGTTGGAAAATCAAGTCTCCATGTTAGTTAAGTAAATGGAATTACCTAATTTTTTCTTTATGCAAGCCTTGGAGGCAGGGGCACAGGCTATTAAGGAATTTTCCTGGGTAGATGAAGGCATGTTTGGGAAATTGGATTTTATAAGCTTTTACCTGTCTGAGGGAGCCATTTCTGCTGGGCTAATGCCCAGGAAACAGCATCTCAGGGTCTTATTTAGTATCCTACTGAGAAATGATTAAAATTAGAAACCTTAAAACTTAGGCTGCAATCTTTCTAGACAAGATCAGGAAGTGTGTCCTATTCCTGGTTCCTGATGTGCTGGCTGTGGCATGGGTGCCGCGTGAGCATGGCTTTGTCTCTTTACAATGAATGGAGCTTCTGCGCCAAGTACCTCACAGGGTGGTGTGTGTGTGTGTGTGTGTGTGTGTGTGTTGGGGGATCGAAGCAAGCGTAAGGAGCCACAGCTCTGGCTTTAATCTATGAGTCTCAGTGATGAGGTCTCACCTAAAGGAAGAGAAGTGGACAGGATTTGGATTTTGTCACTTAGCCCTCCAGGTAATCTGAGTACCCTGGTAATACTCAGGAAGATAGAAAAGGTAGCTTTAAGGGTGATACTGTTTCTCTGCTAGGAAGACCTCCACCCTACCCACCTACCTACCCAAACCTGCTTTCATCCATGGCAAAATTTCCAATTCTTGGAAAATCTTTTCCTTGGATATAAATTGTTTCTTTTGCTCTTAATTCCAAGTTCTTGGAATAGTGGAGCATGAACTTGTCTCTATTAGAGCCCCTCAGCAAAAGCCAGGCAAAGAGCCTTTCCCTAAATGCAGGGAGTCAGAACTCAAGGGCTTGTGAAGGGTTAAGGGAGCCACACCCTGAGCAGGAACAGCCCTGGACTTTGTGCTGAGCAGCCATCTCTGTGGCCTCTTCTGGCCTGAGTGGCACAAGGAGCCTGGGTTAGAGGAGGCAACACAGAGGGAGGTCAGATAGAGGACACCCGGCTTCGCTGACACCATGGACAGCTCCTGTAACTAAGACCTCTCCGTCTGTGTCTCACACTCTTCTGTCAGACTGAGACTTGGACCCCATTCTCCAAGGGGCACCGAAGTACACCCTTGTTTCCAGTGTTGGGTAAGTCCTGTCTTAACCTGTCTCTGTGGAGTGCTCCTTCCGGGATCTTTTTCTCCTTTCTCCAAGTCATTATACTCTTAATTCAAACTAAAAAAATGTGTCTGCTTCACACCCTTCCCTGCTTCAAAGACTTCGAGTATGTGTGTGTGTGTGTGTGTGTGTGTGTTTAGACTGGATCATACTTTGTATGACTGATTGATTGGTCTGGGGTTACTCAGGTTGGCCTCAAACTGATGGCAATCCTGCCTTGGCCTCCTGAGTACTGTGATCACAGGCATAAGCCACCATGCATGGCTACTTAGCTTTAATCTGAAAAATATGGGATAACAATAGTATCTCCTTCATGGGCTGTTATAACTGCCAAGTTACAGTGTTTAGAGCTCTCCTGGCCTGTGGTGAATGCTGCATGTTTTCTAGAGGCTGCTGTTACCAGTATTCATACTGTGCCCTACGTATTTTGGAAGTTACTGGAGTGTGGAGAAAGCAGAATGGAAGAGAAGGAAAGCTGGGTTACTTCCTTGCCCCTAGGTTCAGAGAAGCTGGAGACTGAGGGAATGTGTTAAGAGTGCTGCTTGGGAGTGGCAGTGACCATTGTACTAATTCTGCCACCCCGCCTACTCTGTCGGCCTGAGGAGAGCTTGCTTCTTCCTGCAGAAACGCCTGCCACATGCCTGCTGCATGCAGCCCAGCCCCACAGCCCTCCCTGTAGCAAACCTCCTTGCCAGTTCCACCAGCTACTAAAAAGTGGGGTGTGTCTCTTCAGGCAAGGTTCATGAGGTCCAGCAGATGATAGGGATGAGTAGAAACCTGTAGATTTTACAGTGAAAGGCAAATAAGGGGGTCAGTTAGAGACCTGGCCGCTGGAAAATCATGCCTGCTTCCATCTTCTCCAGGGAGAGATGTTGGGGAGGACTGACTATATTCTTGAACTTATCACCTTATCCAGTGTCATCTGAAAATGAAGTCAGTGTGGTAATGACAGGGAGGAGAGACCACCAGAGACAGGCATTATGGAAGGGCTTAGGTGACTGTAATAGGGGTTGAATACAAGCACTGGGCAAGCAGCCAGGGAGCACTCCCTCAGGGGGAAGGGCGCAACCTGGCTGAGGAATAAAGCTTGGCTCACACTTCCTTCAGCCTTCTCCTTAGGCACAGTTCTGCTCCTCCACTGCTGCCCACTTTGTCTCCAGGTGGGCAGACAAAGATACCCCCATCTCATGTCCATCCCACCCTCTAGCCAGGGATCAGGACCCTCCACCTCCCTGGCTGGCCAGGCTGATTCAGAGGCCCTTCTGGCTAGAGGGCTCTCCTGCAGAGAGGGAGAAGAGGGCTCCCATAGGCCCTTCTGCCCTCTTCCCCTCCCACCAGGCCTTAGCTCCTAAGTAGTCAGCAGCTATTTACCCTGTTTACTGCTAGGATCCTCAAGCCTCTCAATATGCCTCTCCTGGATGGTCCTGTGGGGGTGGAGGACCTTGTCCTCCTGGAACCTCTGGATGAGGAGTCTCTGGTCAAGAACCTGCAGCTTCGTTATGGAAACAAGGAGATTTATGTGAGCCCACTGTGGGTGCCAGACTGTGGGGTACCCAGAGGGTTCCAATATCCCTGCTGCCAGCTTATTTGCTTCACCCTCCTCCTGACCCTAGACCTACATTGGGAATGTGGTGATCTCAGTGAACCCCTACCAGCAGCTTCCTATCTACGGCCCAGAGTTCATTGCCAAATACCGGGACTATACTTTTTATGAGCTGAAACCTCACATGTGAGTAAAGAGGAGGGTCGACAAAGCTCTAGCTATATGTCAGCGAGGCATCCTCATTTCTCCCATCCCTTCCCCTAAAGGAGGTTCTCCAGCATCCCTTTCCCCCTGAGAGTCCTTCCTAGGCCAGTCACATCTTGCCTAATCTTGCCCACATAAGGAGGGTGGGTGAACCTAGTGCTGTGGATTGAAAGATGCTATATTGGGCTGGTCTCACGTCAGTTCTTGCCCCCTTCCTTCCTGTAAGCTATGCTTTGGCAAATGTGGCCTACCAATCACTGAGGGATCAGGACCGAGATCAGTGCATCCTCATCACGGGCGAGAGCGGAGCTGGGAAGACTGGTGAGGAGGTGGCTGGCTTGGGGGAAACCAGAGAATCCCATCTGGAATTGTCTCCTTATCTCTTCCAAGCCAGGCCTGCTTGGCTGGCCTATCCTCAATCCCCACTACTTCCTCTTT